ACAGCACAGTGACACAGAGTGGACACATCACACCGTCCCCACAGCACAGGGCTGAGACACACAGAGTGGACAAGTCACACTGTACCCACAGCACAATGACACAGAGTTGACACATCACACTGTCCCCACATCAAAGTGACAGAGTGGACACATCACATTTCCCCCACAGAACAGTGACAGAGTGGACATATCACACTTCCCCCACAGCACAGTGACACAGAGTGGACACATCACACCGTCCCCACAGCACAGGGCTGAGACACACAGAGTGGACACGTCACACTGCTCCTTACTTTTTCCATATAAAAATTAAAAGAGCAGAATAATACCTGTTAAGCATAACTATGGGCTTGGTGGGTTCTGGTTGCCGGGTGCATTTGTTTTTAACATCTCAAAGAATATTTAAGGAACTGTGGATTTTGCGGTTCGTGCATAGGTTGTGTGAATGCAGATTGTTTCTATTGATTCTAGGGGGCAGACAGAGCAAAGACTGCTGAAGGGAGAAAAAGAGAAAGGAGGACAGGACGAGTTGGGGGGGGGGGTGTATGTACTGGAGTGGGACCTCTGTTCTCACCTTGTTGGCAGGAAGTTTCTCCCTGAGCGAAGAGATAAGCCTCCAGCTCTCCTCACAGGAGCGTTTGTCTGAGTCATCGCCACTGTCCGAGTCTGCATACTGAGAGAGAGAGAGACCGCTGCTCAGAAACAGGGAACAGGTCCTTCTATATTACAAAAACACAGCCAGCTGAGCAACCCCACCGTGCTCCCCCTCCATGGGCGGTCCGGCGGGACTTTTTCTTACCAGTCTCTGCTGCTCCAGGAGCAGGTCAGCCTCCTCTTTCTCTCGACGGTACTGACTCTCCAGGTCCTGCAGTCTGGACACACAAGGAACACAATTCTCAACAGGATAAATGACAAAGGAAAAGTCACACAACTAAGGGTACAGCATGATCTCTCTCTCCCGGATAACCCTGCGCCTTCATTCTCTCCGTTACCCTCAGAGCTCCTCTCTTTCCCCCCCTCACCTCCTCACCTCTTCTCCATCTCCAGTTTGATGTCGATGCCCTGCTTCTCCAGCAGCTCCTTCTGGGCATAGTTCCAGTCCACTGGCTCCCCCTGCTGGTCCTGGCTGGCGTTGCGCTCCCTCTCCAGGCGGGCCTGCTCAGGGTGGTTGAAGCGGAACACATGGTTCTTGCCCATCACGATGCGGTTCCCTGGGAGGCAGGAAAACAACTCCAATTCATTATCAACTGGATTGCAACAAACTGCTGATAGTTGTCATACTTCTTAATGCTTTAATTCAAGGGGGTCTAACCCTGTGCTACAAGCCTGCAGCTATGACTGGCTGTGCAAAGCAGAGGTCTGAAGCTCACTCAGTTGTCCTAAATGACTAAGCAGACGATCCTTAAGTTATACAGATCTCAGCTGGGGCCATTCTAATCTTCTCTGCATCGTTCCAATTTTAGTATATGTGTGGCCGAAGCTGGGATACCCAGAAAAGACTGATGAGCCAGGGCAGATCCCCTGTATGTTCCCAAGCTGCAGGAAAAGAAAGAACGAGATGGATAAAGGGACGGAGAGAGCAGAGGGCATGCGTGTACCTTGTTTCAGGATCAGGGGCTCAGTGATCTGCTTCCCGTTGACGTATGTCTCCGCTCCGTCCAGCGGCTCCAGCGTGACTGCCACTGCGGGCGACACCGACACGACACGGTGAGAGAGACAAGAGGGACAAGTGCTCTCCCAGCATGCACACAGACAACAGGAGGAACTTGCCACAGAGCAGGAGAAGGGGAAAGGAGAGAGAAGCTGCACCAGAGCGAGGGGAGGGGAAGGTTTTTTAAGTTGCACAGTACCTGACACACTTCCTGGTAAGCTTTAGAGAAACAGAGACAGAGAAGTTCAGATGCTGCAGTCTTTGTTCTACTTCTGTTATCAGCACTTAGTTTATAGAGGAAGCCTGCAATGGGGTAGCTAATTAGCTGGTCAGGCTACGTGTCGATTGGGCTAAAAGTCCGTCACAGCAGAGCCCAGACTGGAACCAGTGAGAAACAGACCACAGGGGCGCTGCCTACGTTTGGAACGAGCGCCTCTAAGCTCTGAGCCACACAAGAGACCAAGACCTTGTTTTCTTGCAAAACAACAAGGGGTCGTTTACCTGCAAAGCTAACAACTTTAAAAAAAAACTGACAACAGATCATTTTGGAGCAGAGCAAAGTAAAGCCGAGAAAACTCAGCATACACCCAGATAAATCTCCAAGTATCAGCCCTGCTTGTGTCCACTCTCAGCAGACACAGTTCTTTAACCGGTCTGCTTCAGCGACTGGAATATCACACAGCACAGCTGACCGCGACCTACTGCCTGTGTGGCCTCATCACTGGAGGCAGGAGCTGCCACCTGACCACTGACCCCTGACCCCTCTACTCTCACCTTCCCCGTTGTCGTTGACGCGGCTGTAGAAGATGCAGTGCTGCTCCTTAATGAACTGGCCGCTCAGGCGGATGTCCACATCCTTCTGTCCCACCCTGCACAGACAGAGGACACTGGTCAGACCCTGACCACATTAACATCTTTGTAACAGCACAGTACACCGAGTAGCAGCGGTGCCGTCCTGCAGAGAGGAGAGGGCAATGAAGCCTCCACTGGACCTGGCAGCAACGCTCTGAAGAAGGCGGCGGCTCTACAATGTCAAAACTTGGGCTGCAGGAATCTGAACATATAACCCAACCCATTCACCTGGTCACCCCCTCCTTGATGTAGTACAGCAGACACTCCGACATCAGGGGGTCCTCGTTCAGGTTGACGAGGTGCGGTGTCTGGAAGGGAGAGAGGAGGAGGAGGGACGTCAGTCACAGCGGCCCCAGACGCAGCTCCCCCACAGCCCTGAGCGGAGCTCAGTAAGTACTGCCCAAAGAGCGCGCCACGTCTGCCCTGCAGCGGCTCCGCCTGCTTGCATCCCGTCGCTCACCCCTTTCGGAGAGAACACTCCCAGGGTCCCTCCGTCTTCCCTGATAGACACGCCCATCTCCGCCAGGAGGGACTCCCTGCAGACAGAGAGAGGGGGACACTGTGAGACGGAGACCGAGGACATTCAGAGAGACGGGCCTGGAGAGAGGAGGACAGCTGGGAAGGGACCGGAGTAGTATGGGAGATTTGGCCAGGATACCGGGGTTACACCACTACTCTTTTCGAGAAACGCCCTGGGATTTTTAATGACCACAGAGAGTCAGGACCTCTGTTTTACGTCTTATCTGAAGGACGGCACCTGTTTACAGTATAGTGTCCCAGTCACTATACTGGGGCATTAGGACCCACACAGACCGCAGGGTGAGCACCCCTGCAGGCCCCACTAACACCTCTTCCAGCAGCAGCCTTAGTTTTTCCCAGGAGGTCTCTCATCCAGGTACTGACCAGGCTCACACCTGCTTAAGTTCAGTGGATTGCCAGTTGTGAATTGCAGGGTGACATAGCTGCTGGCTCTAGTGGAATGATGTGGGAAGAAAAGACTGAAGGAGAAAATGATTCTACTGCATGGCTCATCACCGGATGTCATTACCTCTTGCTCCGTTTTGGCGATACTAGTGTTATGCTTGTGCTAACAAGCAGCTTTACTGCTCTATTCAGACTTGTTTCAGTACAGAGGCAGGAAAGAACGATAGAGACACACTTTTCTCTCCAAGCTGAAGGGTAAAGACAGCCGTAACCTCCCATTAAGGCTGGAAGGTACAGGGAATGAGACACACACCTCTCCAGCCTGATGGATTCCGTTTTCCTCAGCTTCTCCTCCCACGTCTCATTCAGCTCAGCAATGATCTTCTCTGTTTCCTGGGGAGACGCAATTTAAAGGACACATTAGGTCCCACAGGAGAACAGGACACACAGTAAATGACAAGAGGGCAAGCATACGGAGAGCAAAAGAGTTGAAGACAGGAAAACATTAAGAGAGAATGACAGAAAGAGGGGCATGGAGCTCCACTTTATTCAAAGAATGAAACTGAGAAAAGAACAGTCAATGAAGGAGACAGAGACAGCACCTTCAGTCTCTCCACAGCCTCCTCCTTGGTGATTGGCTCATCGATGCCAGAGAAGGTCTCCGAATGTCCATTGTCAGCACTGAGGTCACCAGTGGGGGGGTCAGAGTCGAGGCCCTGCTCCTGCGCATGGCACAGACTGTCATCGATCACCTCGCTGGAGTTGAAGGGGGCACCACTCACACCCACCGGCATCAGACGATTGTTATTTGCTTCAGTCCCTGAGGATGGTGCAGTGAGAGGGTGACATGAGTGATTTTGATCTCGGATGCCCTCCCTCTCAGATTCAGAGACAGTGGCAAAAGCAGTGAAAGTCTTACCAAAGCAGTGACAGCACATATAAACTACAACATATGTAAGAAGTATATTACAAATGTAAAACTATTACACAACAGAACAGAAATGACAAATATGCATTTACAAGCATCCTAAACACTGATAATATTTAACCCCCCCCCAAGTTAAGCAAATGGGCAATGTGATTTACTCTCTAAACAGATGCCACATTTCTCTCTCCCCATTAATAATGCTCTGCCTGTACCTCTTTCCATCCCCAAGATCCCACCACCTCCATTAAAGTCCCGAGCTTTTCCGATCTGGCAGCATGTGTTATAACCTGTATGTTTTATTGGTGTCAGTATAGGGATAGTGATCTCATGGCCATTCAGCCATAGGTACACAGTGACTGGGTATATTTCCCCCTTGCAAAGGGGTCTGGACCTTTTTGGGCTATGAAGTAGAGTGTGTACACCGTGTGTACAGCACTGTGTCAGAATTCAGTACTGACCAGCCGCAGTGATGAGCTCAGTGCTCAGCCCCTGGGAGAACAGCAGCTCCCTCAGTCGGTTGACCTCTTCCTTCAGCTCCCGAATCAGCCGTGCGTTGGGGTCCTCGTTGATCACAGCGTTACAGCGGATCTGTTTGGCACGGTCAGCGTACCTGGGAGAGAATGAGGTGGATGGTGAGAGACAGCCTTGAGATATGACAGGTTAACAGTGCAATACTGAGTGTTTCAGAAAGAGAGAGAGGGAGAGTTATGACAGGTAAACCATACCTTAGAGTGCTGAGCGTCTCCTCATAGTTGATGTCTGCTGGACTGAGGGCAGCGATCATGGCCGTGCGCGAGTTCCCTCCTGACAGACAGAGCCACACACAGACAAAGGCCATCAAACACACATCACTGGCCAGGACACAGACTTGAGACACTGAGAGACAAAGAAATGGCAACTGACAAAGACACAGAACAACACAGCTGGACTCTCAGAAACACATAGAGGTCTCCACAATTATTTATTCCATCTTTCTAAAACCTGTTTCCCTAGCCCACTCCCCCATCCTATCAGCCCCATCTCACCCAGGTTCTCCTTCAGCAGCCAGGTCAGAACAGAGTCTCTGTAAGGGATGAAGTCTGATTTCCTCTTCTTGGAGCTTTGCTGGAAACGGAGGTGAAGAGAACAACAGAAACACCGCTAAGTCAAAAAACTTCAAAAGATGCGCAGCAAAGGGCAGAGTGTGACACCAGCTTTCACGGCACAGCAGCCAGAGCTCAAAACATGTTTAAAAGAATTGCCTGGATTTGCTGCCTCAGGTCTTGGGTCCTGAGAGATCCTTCATCTGTTTGGGTTTCTTCCCATCTCCTTAAGACATGCTGGACTGCAGCTGGAGACCCCTGTATTAACTGGATGGGTTTCTCTAGGAGCAGGGCTGAAGGCTCCTGTACTAACTGGACTGTATTTGTAACTTTTCTAGGTGTGTGTGAGTGTACTGCCGGTTTTGTCAGTGTGCGTCCCCCTGTCTGTGCTCTGGGGCTCCAGGGGTCTCTCACCATTTCCGCCAGCGCAGAGATGACCTTGCCCAGAGTGGTCAGGGATTTGTTGATGTTGGCTCCTTCCTGTCAGACGAGATACCCAGAAATTGTCATACTTTCAATGCATGCATAGTCATATTCTGTACTGAACACATCAACGCTTGAACTTTCTGCAGATATATTGCAGTAAAGCTACTGCAAGGAGTTTCCCAGCCCTCTCACCTTTAACCTCATGCCCTTTGCCCCTGAAGAGTCAGCTCTTTCACTTCCTGCCAGGTCAACCAGGCTGATTTTGCTGACCTGAGGGGAAAAAAAAAAATTCAACTAAATGACTCACCCCAATACAAAAGATGAAAGCAATCAGATCAGTCAAAGTCATGACTGATAAGAAACTGTCAAGCATTATATTAGCACTTAAGACACTTAAAAAAGAAATGTCAGCAGAAAAAACTTTGCATGTCTGTGAAACAAATCAACATACAAGAACCATGAAAAGTCATTTGCTAAATCTTAAAAGACCTTTGTAAAACACTGGTGGAGATGAACACCAAGAATGCAGTTTTTACATTAAGCCACAAGGTGGAGACACCTTAAACACTGACCACAGGTCTGTTTTACTGAATAGCAAATTTTACAGTTCATAACCACATCACAGGCTTTTTTGGAAAAAATAAACACCCAGAAGCCTAAATCAGAGAATCAGTGACCTTAGTGGTTTAATGACTGCATTCCTGAGGTTGAGAGGTTAATAATATGTATGATTACTGAAAAAAAACAACGTAATAATAATTATTGATAATGTGTCACTCATCTCTAAAGAGCTTGCAGCACAAGATGGACTGGAGCTGGAGCTGAAAGACTGACTCCAGTCTCTAGGTTCACAACACCTGTAGGTGCTGCCACACTGGCTTCCTTGTGATAACTATCCAACTACACCTGACCCCAGTGTGACCCCAGCATGAGCACTGCCTGACCTTTGTCTCTGACCCCAGTGTGATCCCTATCTGACCCGTCTGAGTACTGTCTAACCCCAGTGTGAACCCTATCTGACCCCTGTCTGAGCCCTTTTTGACCCCGGGGTCAGTACTATCTGACCCCAGCTTGCACCCAGTGTGAGCGCAATCTCACCCCCAAGTGAGTGACCTCAGTGCAAGCGCTATCAGACACCAGCGCAAGCGCTGACCCCAGCCTCTGCCCCTGCATAGAGAACGAGGACCCCCTGGCCATTACCTTCTCAGTGTCCAGGCTGGTCATCTGGTCGTGGCGCCGCTGTGTGAAGACGATGGTGAAGACCGCGTGAGAGCGGCTGCTCGTCTCATTCATGTTGGTGGCAGCCACGGTCCTGGAGGAGACAACCGGGGACAGAGCGGGTCAGTAGCAATAATTACCGGGCACTGCTTGTATCTCAGGACTAGAAGACTGACTGGTCACTCTTCACTCATCAGGTTATAAAGACACACATCAGACCCCTGCTGACCTAATCTCATCTGACCGCTACTGTCCTGAGACCAATTACTAGCTGACCGTTGTCTAACAATTATCAGTTCCCTTATTGCAATCTGGCCCCTATCTGTTCCAAACCTAATATCTATCGGAACTTATGGATGAC